TCAGATATGGCCATGCTGATGACTTCAGACTTGAAGGGAGAGCTGCTCACCTGATTTGATTCAGTCTAGATACAAACAGTTGGGTGCCACCGAATTATGTCAGGGAAATGGTTGCAATAAAAACACTTAAAATGAACCATCTCCAGGTTCCAGCAACCTGCAAACAGACCTGTTGGTAAGGTGGGTAGTTGAGGTTCCCTCGGGCGTTACATCTTGCTTTTAATGATGCCATGTGAGCCTCCGGCCCCCATTTCTCTCTGTAACTGGAGCTAATACATATCTTCAAGTGGATATTTTGGCAGACTTTAGATATATTAACCTATTATCACTAGAGTTATGTGGTGCTGAATTTGAATATGAAAAACACAGCCAAAGCCTTGCTCATCTCAAAAAGCAAATGCAGCAAAAATGAATCCTGTGGAATTGTGCGATGTCTGGCCAGCGGGTGAGAGTGGCCGACTTGTGCTGTTTCGACTGCATCCGTTTTGACCACTTGGGAAAATTTTCCGTTATTCAAACGCTGCCACAGAGGGGAAAAAATGGGATTTGGAGTCAGAAGTACCGAATTGAGATGCCAAGTATGCCCCTTAATGGCTGTGGTGGTTAGATAACTTTTGAGAAACATTCACTCCTTCCCTCCCCACCACTTTCATGGGAGAGTTGTGTTTCCCTGCCCTGTTGACTTTGGGCTCGGCCCTGCGACTTGTTTCAGCCGGTGGAACTTTGGCAGACATTATGCAATGAAGACTTGACACGTGCATGCACAGCGGGAATTGGTTCTTGCCCCTCTGCCCTGGCTAGTGCCCTGGTCCGGGGAGGAAGGGAGATGTGGAGCCAGGCCCAGGCTCACCTGCAGTTGAGCCCACCCAGCCAAACCTAGGCAGGATTGGCCAACCCCAGCTCACACACAGACACACACGAGAATTTTTAAATGACTCCTGTTTTAGGTTTCAGGGTAGTTTGTAATGCAACAGTGCCTGGGTGACGTACGGGCAGAGACTGGGTTTCAGCTAACATGGGTGAGAATAGCAGTACTACAGTGCGATCTGAATAATGGCATGCTGTTACCACTTTACCTGTTGAAGAACAAATAGAGTGTCTGATTCCTGCCTTGGGGACAGTTTAGCTAAGCTCCAACTACAAAACTGCATTTTCAAGAATTCCTTTCCCTGTTAGTTATAGGTTAGCTCTGACCACCAGAGGAATTTTGTGCATGATTTGGAAGGCAGAAGCAAAGCAGCAGACGTAACTTCTATGCTCTGACAGTTGGAGCAGGGCACCGGGAACAGTGAGTGCTCACGCACACTGTTGCCAATTGGCTGGCTTGCCTTGTTCTTGACCAAGTACTTGCTCAGTTCAATGGGGAAGGGCACCACCTTCCCCAGAAGTCACCCACGTCATCAAGGTTGGAGGTGGTGAAAGATGTAGGTAGGTTCCATTTTTTTCTCCCGTTCACGCCAAGCTTTCTTCTCCAACTACCAATTCGGCTGACCTGTAGCTACTTTAGGCTCAACATCAGATGCAGAGGCAACAGCCTTGCCTTAATGCTGCCACACACTTACAGCTGTATACAGTTTAATCCTTAAAACAAACCCTTGGTTCTCTTAGAACCCACTTAGGGTTCTTCTGTGGATGGGGCTCTGACATGTATGGCTGAGTCCATTGTTGTCTTCAAATCCAGGCAAGTTCCCCAGACCATAATCTTGAGGCATTTCTGATGGAGCAAGAAATATGTATGATTAAGTTATTGTTCATTGAGCCCTTACTAAGTGCAAACACTCTTCTGTTTTACACGTATTGTCTCATCCAATCTCATTAAATGGTCCAATTCCCCACCCAGACTGGTCCACTGTTGTCATCACTACCAATGGGTAGTTCAGGGATTGCCGCTAGCTACAGTAACGGTCCCAGTTCTTCCATCTGGGACTGTGGAATTGGACCCATTGCTCTCTGGGGTGACTCTGGGTGGCCTGTGCTGCCCTCATATAAAGAATCTGAATCACAGAAGGTGCCCGTTAAGGGTTTGTTTACCCTCTTCCCCACCATCAACCTTGGCATTGATCTTTGTCCAAAGGAACATCCTTTGACACTACCCAAGAACTCAGTTCCCCTTTGAGAACGAGGCCTGGCCCTCAGTCTTTCCCAGTGACTGGGCCCTGCTGCCACGGTCAGGTCTCACACAGGAACTGCCTGCCCGCCTCGGTCCCGAGTGCTGACCCTCCTGGACCGAAGCAGTGTCACCCACTGGGGTGCCCCCGCCCTTACTAGATGTTCACCCCTAATTGAGAGCCATTTCATATTGAACCTCTTGCCCCACCCCATACCCTCCAGTTACCATTCAGGAGCCACGTAGCTGTCCTCTTTGGCTACAGCTGTGTGGGCCTCTGCACTGTGCACAGGTAGCCAGGCCGGTTTCCCAGTGTTTGTCCTTATCTCAGGCAGCAGGTGTCTAAGACGGTTTGCCAGGTTGTACAAGATTAAATTTGCTGGGGCATCTAACCCAAATCCTGAAGTGGATTTGGTGGATTTTCAGTATCAATAACTCTGGTAGTTCTGTGCTGTACCAATAATGGCCAAGTTAGATGGTGTTTCCCAGCATTCTCTTCCCTACACGGTTCTGGTTTACAGCCGCCTAAAAGAGAGATTAGTGCAGCATTTGGAAGGCAGGAAGGAAGCCAGCAGCAGCTGTGACTCCAAAGATCATTGAGGTTGGAGGTGGTGAGACAGATGTGGTGGTGCCGATGGCTAACTTGTCCTCTCTCTTTCCTGCTGCAAGTCAGCTCTTCTTCCAGTCTGCCAGCTCTACTGACCAAGAGCACCCCCAGCTCATCACCAAGTGCTTGGCTGTGGATTCAGAGGTAACAGCAACACAGAAGCAATGACCTTCCCAGACTTCTTCCCCAGCCCCTTCGTGGTTTCCATTCTGGCAGCCGGATGTGTCTCACGTTCAGATTTCCCCGCCAGCTCAAACCTGTCCACCAGCACCACAGCCAGGGGAGGACCGGTTAGTGGCTTTTCTTCCCTAATTTTAGGGGTGACCAGTTTTCTTCTGAAAAATACCAACATGCTTTCCTAGAATTTGACCAATATTAATTCAGAATTCTACTAGGAATTGTGTTTTGTGTTTTCCTGAGTTCTAGGGCTCTTCTACAAGTCTATTCAGGTGAAGGTTCTGCTGCCCTCCCCCATTCTAAGCATTTGTGAGCTGGGAGAGTATTTTTCACTGTGATTTTTTCCATATATCCTTTGCTTTAAAACACTTAACAAGGAAGACTTTGTAAAATGGTTTCCCAGTCAAATATGCAATCAGGAGCCATTCGTTTCATGGGAAGCAGGGAATGGCAGTCATCCTCTAATGGACTTAACGAAATCCTAATTGCTTACACCTGCAGAAGCTGTCGCTTGTGTAAGGTGTGTCATTAGCAGCCAGAGTGTGCTGGAAGCGGGACTGCCTGTTCACGTGGGGGCGCAGCCCACAGGCTGCCCACACTGGGGCTTTCCCACTGTGCTCATCAGCCCGGCCTGGGCTCTCCGGGCACTTCAAGGCCGACTGCGTGACTGGACAGCATGCGGCCAACCGGGCACACAACAGTTCCCCACACAAAGCAGGGGTGACCACTTTTAAAAAATGAGTCCTTTTTACTTTGCAGTTATGAGTTTTCTGCTTTTCTATCCCAGTGGCTCTCAGTTTTGGCTATACATCAGAATCGCCAGGGAAGTTCTTTTAAAGTTCTGATGTCGGAGCTGCACACAGACCAATTAGATCACTCTTTCTGGGGTAGCAATAGTTTTAAAGGTTCCAGTGTGCTGCTGAGTTTGGAAACCAGTTCTAGACCACAGGTTCTGAAACTACAGCCGCCTCAGAATCATCTGGAGGGCCTGTTAAAAACCACCCCCGGAGATACTCAGTGAGGTGTGGGGGCTGTTCAATACTTCGCATGTCTCACTCTTAAGAATGTTGTCAATGCTCAAAACAATGTTGAATTCCATTTCAAATTAGAATAATCTTGTTCTGCACAGAACACATTATGCTAAATTTTTAAAAAAGGTTTTATTTATTTTTAGGGGGGAAGAGAGGGAGGGAGACATCAATGTGCAGTCGCCTCCCACATGCCCTCTACTGGGGACCTGGCTCACAACCCAGGCATGTACCCTCACTGGGAATCCAACCAGTGACCCTTTGGTTTGCAGGCCAGCATTCAACCCACTGAGCCACACCAGCAATGGCTATGCTAAATTTTTTAGTCATTAACTCATTTAATCATTTGCACAAAGCTTCCATTCTCATCCTTGAAATCAGAACAAGTGCCAACCTGAGACGTCTTCTGTCTACCCTTTGCAAAGGCACCTGCGGCAGTTGCCATCACACTACTGGGTTTGGTTCCTTCTGGGCCCTAACCACAGTCTGTAATCTTGTTTCTCTCTTCCAGTCGCATGTAAGCTCCATGGCAGAAGCCCTGCTTGTCTTCACCTGGTGCCTAGCAGGTAACAGGTACTCCACAAACATTTGCTGAATTAATGAATGCATAGCAACCCCAGGAAAGAGGTACCAACACAGTCTGTATTCCACAGACCAGGGCCTAGAAATACAAAAAAGGTTAAGTAACGTGCCCAGGATCAGTGTGGAGGAACCGAGACTCAGACTGACCAGGGCTGGCTTTCAAACCACTGCAAGAACTGGTCGTCCACCTTCAGTCCTCTTCCGGCCATAAATGAACCACTCACCTAGGAATGCCATCATTGCCTGACTGCGCTTGATTCAAAACTACGCATTCTCTTCAAATAACAGTAAAAATTCAGAGCTCAACCCCATCTGGCCAGACTGTAGAAACAGTGGCAATTTCTTTCCTATTTAAAAACTCTACTGTTCATACTGGAAATCTATTTACAATGCTCCAAAGCAGGTTAAAAATTTCCACCTCCTATAACATTACACCAAAACCCTTTAATACAAATGCTCGTATTTAGTGGGGGGAAAAACACACATGAAAACAAATGGATTTGAATTATCTGACTTTATTGAGCATGCCAATATAATTACTCTGGTAATAAATTAATAGTTACAAAAATGTTGAGTGCTTCCTAAGAAAATTCTTCTGAATGTGTAAAGGATATGCAGAACCATTTATACAGTTGACTATAATTTTCAAACTCAGGAGTGTGGTAACATCAAGTTACTGAAGAAGAATGGAGTCTCTTATAATTCATGATTTAGATAGTTTTGAGTTTATGAAGGTTTCAATGACCATTTCAGTTCCTGCAAGCTACAAAACCTGAACTGACAGTTTACAAACCACCTGATCCAGCCTCCTAACAGCACAGATAATACACTGGCCTTGCCCAAGATCACAAAGCCAGTAAAAGACAGAGGTTGAATTACAACTCAGTTCTCAGAGGTGCTCCAGAAGTGTCTGCTGAATTAAATAAGGCACATATATCACATCACATAGCACTCTAGCATGACTGAATGACCCTGGCTTTACTTTCTGCCTAGCAGAAATTTAAATTAAATCCTCATGTGTTCTTCTGCAATTAACAACTTGAGTGAGTCAGCTGCTTTGGAAACAAAACCATCCCCATGTCTGCAGCTAATCAGATTGCTGTTTCCGCTTCTTTTCTCCCCAAACATCTGGCCCCGGGCCACTATTCTTCCTGCTCTTCTGTGCTCAGATCTATATCAAGGATCTCTATTCTTATATGAAATTCATCATTAACAGAGGGAGCTAACATCATCAATATCTACAAAGCCATCAATTTCTGCATATCAGGCAGTTTGCTTCTCTTCGCAGATCATTTCTAACAGAGTCAGTGCCTGCTCGGTTCATCTGAGCCACCGCTGATTCCAAAGCAAGTGTGGATGGCTTCTGGGGGGTCAGTGTTCCCAACAGCATTGAGATTTCTAATCGCATCAAGGACATGCCCCGTAATGCTTCACATAACGTACAAGTACTTCTGGCACACATCTTTGGTGATTTATTTATGTCTCAGCTAAGGGCTGCACATAGCCATGATGCTGACAGCAACCCCCTAAAATAAAAGCCACTTGCTCTTTAAAATGTAAATGCTAATGAGTGTGTGCAGCGTGTTTATCAGTCAGTAACAGAATGCACACATGCTGGCAGGTTTGGTTGTAGGAGCCACTGCCAAAAACACCTGCCAGATATTCGTGCATTTTTTTTTAAACTTTATACACGTGGCAAAATTGTGTATATAAAGGGAACTTCTGAATTTCCATGTAAGTGATGCTAATTCCTTGCTACTCTCGGCACGACAGCAAAGGAAAACTGATAGCCTACCTTTACATATGTCTTTCTCCAGGGCAACATTTCTCTGTGAAAGCAAATGTCTGATTTGTTTGCAACACAGAGGCTTCTCAGATGTGTCCCAGGGGCACATTTATTTAGAGCAGGTATCTCATTTTCAAGTTCTTCCCCAGCAAACACAAGAGTTGTAAAAGCTTCACCTTTGGAGCAGTGACTTGATTTTGTGGGAATGCTGAAAGCTCTGCTGCCACCACGCAGACCTGACATTAACCCCTATCTAGAACGAAATTCCATTAGTCGGATCTACAGGGAGCAAACAAGAACCCCGATACAGAAGTATTATTTGCTCTGATCTGGCCATAACATGGAAGCATTTAATTTGCTAAGCTGGCATGCTTTTCTCCCCTCATTCTGTTACTAATTTCACTTCCTTGGGCTTTTTTTTTTTTTTTTTTGGCTTGTCCTGATTTTCAAGGAATGTGCAGAATACTGATAAAGAAAACTTGAAATTCTTTGGCCATTTCACTTTTGACTTTCTCACCAACTTTCAGCTCCGGAGGAAACTGTGAGCTCCGTATACTTTCTCTCTAACACCATGACCGGAACTCGGAGCACGAACATGGCAAATGCATGCTCAGCGGAACAGGAACAGCCCGGTAATGGCCGGACTGGGAAGGCACGGCACCCAGCTTTCTTAAGTTTAGAAGAATGAACCTGATGCCAATTTCAAAAAGGGCTAATTTTAATTATCTTAATAACCAATTAAAAATAAAACCCCTTTTTTAACATTAAAGAATCCTAATGATGTTGAGGTAGATGATGCTGTTATCAGGTAATATCAGGTATAAGATAAAAATAAAAATAACAAAACGGAGGGAAAGGATGCACTGACTTGAAATTGTCTTCCTTTAAATTCATGTGAAAGATCAAGAACACTTTATCCAGTTCAAAGTTCTAAGCAGGAAACCCAGATGTGCCATGTCACGGACTTGGTCTTTAATTGGAGATGAACTCAGCAGCCAGTGGGAAGAATCCAGAATAGCAAACTGCAAAATGGCTGTCCCCATGAGGAAGCTGGTCACTTTGCCTTTGATTTGTCCAGCTGGGCGCACTCCCAAATGTTCAGGATTCAGAGTCCTAAAGTCTTTTTTAGCATTTGACTAATTCTTTGTTGGTGGAAGGGGCTGGAACTGTTTCTCCACACATAAACTGCTCCTAAGAAAGCACAAAAAAGTGGAGTAAGCACTGAGTATGTTACCAATGCATCAATATTAACTTTCATCTTGTCACAGAATGGATGCAGCTCCGTGAGCTTTTCCATTCTATCTCATTTCATCCTTCTTCAAGAATCAATGTCAGCACCAGAATTATAAACTCAGATATCTATCAGTTTTAGCCATGCATTCCTATTTAGTATAAAGCATCTTATCTTATAAACACACCCATCGTCATTACAAAGCACCAACCTCTCAGAAATTACATTCTTAAAGACACTGCCACATCTTTTAACTTTCTGTATTAATTACTACTTGCACTAAAATTTCCCCACTTCAGTATTTGGTCATTCAAATAACTGTCCTCTTCAAAACTATTACTTCTTCCAACTAAAAGGGATAGCTCCTTACGTGTTTCCCAGCAGAGATACCTGCAATGTTAGCTCCACTGTCAATGAAGTCCAATCTCCGGTTATTTATCCTGCCTCACCAACTACCATGAGAACTCTCTGCCTCATGGGTTACCCAGCATGCCTGGCAACCTGACCTCTGTGAGGATCGGCCTGTGTTCTGTCCCCGTTGCTCTCTCACTCCTGCCTGGCACCTGGAATCCTCCCGTTGCTCTTTGGGATTTAAGGTCCATCAGCAGCACAACACTCCACGTCCTCAACCTCTTCTTTAAACATCCCCGTACCTTCTTGCTCTCATACAGTAGTTCTCAAGGGGCAGGGGTACTGGGGGTGGGGAGTGGTGTTGATTTTGTCTCCAGAGGACATTTAGCAACATCTGGAGACATTCTGGGTTGAGACAATTGGGGGTATAGGGTGCAAGTGGGCAGAGGCACAGAACAGCCTGTCCAACAAAGAGTTGCTCAGCCCCAAATGTCCACAATGCTGACACTGAGAAGAGGCCACCCCCTAAAGACACTGTTCCCCATGCACCCCCTCAAGTGAGGGCTCTGGGTTCTCGCAGAGCCCCAGTGCTGCTGAGGCTGGAGGAGGAGCTGGCTGCTCCTTTCCACCACTGTTCTCCTTCCCTGTCTAAAACCCACCAACTTTGCCTCTTATGCCACGAGACTGTGTCACCACTGCTCCTCTCTGTTGCTGTCTTCTACTCCCCTTGGGTTCCCATTCCAACCCTTCTGGAATCTCCACTGTATTCATCCTATCCCTTTTTCGCTGTCCCTCGTGTCCTTAATTTACCTAGTTTAAAGCCCACAGTCAAATACATAATCACTTTTCTCCCACTCCTTCCTATTCACTTGGCAAAAACACAAGCCTGGTTAAATCTAACTTCCTATGTCTATATTCACCCACACAGCTGAGTGTCTACCAGCAAACCCTCTCTAGACCCTCTATCACCACCGGTTACCGCCCCAAGTCTCCGATCCCCTTGGCAACAAACTCCTTGAAAGAAATGTCTACAGTTGCTGCCTCCTATTCTTCTCTCCTCCTCTCCAGCAAGTTTTCCGCCAATCAGGCTCTGCCTCCATTACTCCCCAGAAACTGCTCTCAGCACTGACACAAGTGGTCTGTTAAAGCCAACGGTTAATATCCAGTTATCTTTCTATCCGTGGCATCTGACAAGGCTGATCCCTTCCTCTACCTTTTCTCATCTGGCTTCTGGGATATGACACCAGTGGTTTTCCTCCTTCCTCTGTGGTTGCACCTTTTCACCCAGCTTTGCTGAATCTCGCTTCGCTTCCTGACTTTAATGTTGGAGTGGCCCAAGGCTCAGTCCTTCGTCCATCATTACTACATTCAGTGCTGGTGGTCCAATCTCATGGCTCTGAATGCTGGTTATTTGCTGATAACCCTCAAATTTACAGCACCAAGTGACCACTCTCTGAACTCCAGACTTACATATATCGATTGCCTTCTCACCCTGTAACCCCTCAAGCTATGGCTCTGTGTTCTCTGATAGCCCCAAGGCCTTCTCACCAGCTCCACTTGATGAAAAACAGACCTCTCACAAACAGGCCATCCAACTCCTGCCCCTGCAACCTCTTTCCCCTCAGTTCATGCTAAATCCATCTTTTCAGTTATGAAGGCCAAAAATGTTGAAATCATCCTTGACTCCTCTCATATATATCCAACCAGTAAGAAATCCTTATCCTTTAAAGTGTACCCAGAATCCAACCACTTCTCACCACTCCCACTGCTGCAGCTTGGTCCAAGCTACCCATCCCTCCTTTGATTAGTCCAACAGCCTGGCCTCATGCCTCCACATTTGCCCCTTCGCAGTCTACCTGGACACAACAGCCAGACTCCCTCCTTTAAAACTTGAGTTGACCCTGGCTGGTGTGGCTCAGCGGATTGAGTGCTGGCCTGCAAACTGAATGCTTGCCAGTTCAATTCCTAGTCAGGGCACATGCCTGGGTTGCAGGCCAGGTCCCCAGTGGGGGGTGTAAAAGAGGCAACCTATCCACATATCTTTTGCACATTCATGTTTCTCTCCCTCTCTTCTCTAAAAATAACATCTTTAAAATAAAAGAACAAAAACTTGAGTTGGATCACGGCACAACTTGGTTACAGAATCCTCCTCTGGTTCCTTGTATCATTGGCACAGGCAAAGCCAAGGTCCTTAGAGTGGCCCACAAACTCTCTGATTGGCCCCACTGCACCACACCATTCTTCCTGGACGATTCTCACCCTCCTTTACTCTGCTCTGGCCACACTGGCCTCCTCGCTGTTCCTCAATATAGCCAAGCATGTCTCTGCTGTGGGGCTTCTTCACGTGAAGTTCCCTTTGTCAGACTGCTCTTGCTCCTAATATAATACCGGGCTCACTTCCTCACATCCTTCAATCCTTGCTCAGTAAGGCCTGCCACGAGTCCCCTGTTTAAAACAGCAACTTCTTCTCACACCTGCACTCCTGATCTACCTTACCCTGGTCTCTCTGTGTTCCAGAACCCATTTTAATATAAGAAAAATCAGCAAACTTCTAGATTACAGTCTAAATTACAGCCTGCTTCTCTATGAGGCTAAGTGCCTTGTTCCTACCTTCCCTATAATCATGTCAGAGGCCATCCTAACGAACGTCAAGCTGTTTTATGTCAATGATATCTCAAAAGAAAAAAAAAAGGATGTTAAGCTTCTTACTTAAAACTTTATTCAAAGTACTAACCAAAAGTTGGGATAGATAGTAATATTTATTTTGTTTTCTATTCTTAATATCCTTGGAGGAAAACTGACAGGACAACTACAGACTAAAAAAATTATAAAACTGCAACTACAATTATATTTCAAACAATATACTACAGAGTTCTGTGTGTAAGACAGACAAGAAATACGATATGATTGTTCCCTTCAAAATAAACCTAGGCAATCTGAATTTTAATTACTTACTAAATAAAGGAAAAATAAAGAATGCCAAGTAGCCTTTATAATTATTTTTCATTTAATAAGTAATTAGTAATTTTCACTAGATAAGAGTAGTTTTCTTTATTGCCCTGTCTATAGCTAAACTCAGTTAATTTGAGCTTAAAAAATTTTAATTTACAGCCCTGGCTGGCGTAGCTCAGTGGATTGAGCACAGGCTTCGAACCAAAGTGTCGCAGGTTCGATTCCCAGTCAGGGTACATGCCTGGGTTGCAGGCCATGACCCCCAGCAACCGCACATTAATGTTTCTCTCTATCTCCCTTTCCTCTCTAAAAATAAATATATAAATAAAATCTTAAAAAAATTTTAATTTACAATATGGCTGTTTATTAAGGGTTTCTAAAATGTTTTAAAAACAAAGCATTTACTTAACACTGTTAGTAAACATTTTCCTGCACTTACATATCATAGACAGTGCTCTAGGTTTTTGTCCCACAACCCTCCCCCCACTGTTTAAAATTTCACCCCTTACTTTGTCATAAATCACTTTTATAATGAGAGAGCAGCTAGGACAAGTCGCCACGTCTTCCCCATTCTCCAAATCCTCCTGTAACAAAATCAAACACGGAATGATCAGCATCGCCTTTCCTCCGCAAACTCCTGCTCCCAAACCTCCCCCGCACTGGCCACCTAACACCTTTGTGACTTGCCTCCCCACAAGGTCTGTGAGGGCCAAAGTGGCCTTCCGAGAGAAATGACGACCCCAATTTTTCCTGGGAACTGCACTTGGGAGAAATACCCCAGAAGGCTGGTCAAAATTCAGTTGCCGCGAAACCTCCGGGAAGACAAAAATGTCTCCCTTGCTGCAAAGAAGTTTCCCAGGAAGGTGGACCCGAAGTGAGGGAGGATGGCGAAAAGTCTGAGTCTCCCCGAAAGCCACCCCCTCCCTGACCCCGACCCCGGCCTCGGCCCCATCCACGAGGCCTGACTAAAGACCAGAATGGAAAGACCACTGACAGCTGAGAATATCAGCTTTCGGGAGATTGACAAACTGGGTTAAAAGGGCGTGGATAACGCGAGCCGCGTGGGCCAAGAGACGGCGGAAGGAACGCCTGAGCGCGACAACGCGCCTGCTCTGAGGAGCAGCCGGGCGGAACCCTGAAGTTACCTTGGTGATGCAGAAGTTATCGCCACAAGGGCAGGGGTAGAAATACGTCTCCAAGTCCTCGTCATATTGGAAATCCTCGATTTCCACCTCGTCATGAAACACCGCCATCGTACGGGGTCCAGATGACGGAGCCCACCAGCCCAAACCGACCCAGGTCGGGCTAACTGAGCGGACGATTGCTCCAGCCGGGCGTAGTCACGAAGCACTGACGCAGGAACTATCGCTTCCGGCGCATGGACAACTACGCATCTGCCGGTTTGGAGGCCAAATGGGTGACCGGGTCACGGTCACCATGGAGATGGCTGAGCTACGGTGTGGGAAGACACTGAAAGAGCGTGCTTGCTCTTTGGCGGTGTCGTGAGGGCTCCGCCCTTGGAGGGAAGTGGCCAATAGAATGTGAGGATCGCTCGAGAGGCTGTACGTCACGTCGGGGACACCGGAAGCTTTCAGGAACCGGCGGAATTTAGTGCAGTTCTGTAAGCTAGGTATTCGTGGTGCTGGGGGCACGCGGAGGCAGTTTAGATTGTCTATAGTTGTCTGGCCTCATGGCCGTGGACCTTCGATAGGCCTTGACCAGAACCCTCTAAAGGCCGCAGCAGGTCTAGATAGCACAGTCGGGGCCCTCAGCGCCCGTGGGTCAGGGCTGCAGCCTTGCTTGGAGTTCGGCGGCAGGAGCAGCTCAACCTTTTCAATCTGTGTGCCTTCCCGGAGTCCGACGAAAAGCTTCCTTGGAATTTCGATTCACCGGGTGACCTTGAACTCTGGGCGACGCCTTGCTTGTAGTTCCTGGCTGCACTCGGCTCTTCAGGTATAGCCCCGCCTCTTCGTCACCCCAGATTATTTTCAAATGCCTAAATTGTGTTGCTGAAAGGACCAACACCTGGGAGGCAGATGGAATTCTAGTCTTATGTTTGCCCAGCATATGACATTATTTACTACAGAAATTTGTAATAACAGTAATAGGATCACTTTTTATTACAAGGAGTTTGCTTTATGCCCGGTATTGTGCCAAGTATAATTCTTCCACCAGCCTTGGGAGTTTAGACGTTATTCCATATTATTAATCTTCAAACTGAGATCAGAGCTGGGTATCTAGACCAAAATCATACACCTAGGAAATGAAGAGGCTGTCTGTCCCCTAAGCCTGGCAACACATTACTTAATTTGTGTGAACCACAGTTTCTTTTTCGTGAAAGGAATGGCATCAGCGGGCAGAGTTATTACCATGAGGCTTCTTTATACCTTGAAAATAAATAAAATGCAAATAAAAGGTGCTTTGTCTGGGAAGCAGTACTAGTGCCTGTTTTGGTACAGCCGAATCCCTGGGGGTAGTGTTTCATTTCTAGGCATTACTTCAAATCTTGGTAGAGCAGCAGTGCAGTGAAAACAAGTGCTATTGAGAAGCAAATTTGGGCCCAGCATCTGATTGTTAAAGCACTGAGAACTGGATATTTATATTCTTTGGGCCTTATTTCTTCTTCTGACTAGACAACAGGTTGTATTAGAGGTGATTTACAAGATCCCTTTCAGATCTAATACCCTACTTCTGTGTGGGAATTATGGTTTTTACTTGGTTCAGCAATCATGTACCACACTTAGTTTATATTCACGTAATACATACGTGTAATACTCGTGTATACACATCCCTCTGTGGACTGCCGAGATGTTCACCAGAGCTTCCCTTGAGACCTAGATTTGGGTGTCCCTTGGCTTTCCAGTTTCCATCCTGCCATCTGTCGGCCATGCCCTTTGGCCAGAGGTGGCACCTTGCATGGTTCTGCTCAGTTTTGACTTCCTACTGTGCTGAAAAAAATAAAACCAGAGCCAAATATGTGATGTAGTTTTTTTACTCCCCCATCCCAGCATTTTTAAATTATACATTACAATGACTGTTAAACTTTATTCTTAAAAAGTAATGGAAAGATTCTGTAATGAGACATTTTTGGACCCCGAAAGCATGACAAAAGCAGATTTACTAGTTGCTGGAAGATCATTTGAGATCACAAATTTATTTAATTGTAAAAGGTTAACATACTGATCTGGAAAATAACAGTGACCAAAATTCTTAATGTAAGATTGAACTTAGAAATAAGTCACAATCATATAGTAGAACCTGTATTTTGTGTATATCGGGCTGTTGTATATCGGGCTAAGGGGAATTATTTATTAGCCATATCAGACTGCCTCTTAAGATTGACAGGAAGCCAGGGGGTTAATGCATTTGGGTTGTTTTTTTGTAACACTTGCCTGCCAGGTACTTCCATTGACATTTATTTCTCTCAGCAGTCCAGTGAAGTGGTGTTGGCATTCCCATTTAAAAATGATAAGAGGTGACTGGCCCAAGATCAAAAAGCAGGAAGGAGTCAGATCTGCGTCCAGTTCTGTGGATTCCAAGTCAAGCACTCTTGAAATAACTTGTATGCCACCAGGGTTCCCTTAACGAAATGCCAAATGCCAGGAGCCCCTTTGCTTCTTCAGTGACACCTCCGATTCTACAACAATGGGTGCCATGATATTTCTGTGAATTTATTTCAGTGCATTGATGATCTTTGAGGCACCCTTGGTTTTTCTCTTTCACACCTCATCCCATCTATCAACAAGTCTTAGGGCTTTAATTCCAAAATATGTTCCATGTTCATCTACTTCTGTCATGTCTGTAGCTTAATCCTACTCCATTCTTAGACTAGAGCCTTCTAATTGGACGTCCTGCTTCGACTCTTGCCCCTGTGATCAGTTCTTTGCATTGCAGCCTGAGCAATCCCTTAATGTAAATTCAGTCACATCCCTCTCCTAGTTTATTCAAACCATTCAGTTGCTTCTCATTGCCCTTAGAATAAAGGCCATCCCCTTACTATGGCCTGGTCTGGCCCACCTACCTGCTCAGCTCATCTCGTATCACTCCCCTCGCTCACTGCTCTCCAGTCACATTGGCTGTGGTTCCCGCACACACCAGTGTGTCTGTGACTGGGCCTCTGCCCGAGTGCTCTGCTCTGAACGTCTGCTTGGCTGACTCTTCCTCATGAGCATTCAGGTTTCGCGCTTGTCTCTTGAGAGAGACCTTTCCCAATACTCCCCCGCCCACCCTACTCTTACCTGTCACACACACTATAATGAAAGCTTCATGATGGCAAGGACCTTGTGTCTGGTTCCTTATTGTGTCTCCATGGCCTACAGTAGTGCCTGGCACCCCAGTTATTGTTTAATAAATTAAGCGTCCTCACTGAATAGAGACCAGTATAGGTGATTTTAAGTCTTAAATCCATTGCTTGCAGTAGTTTTTTTTACTGCTTAAACAGATGTGTTTTCTTTAGCATTTATGATCATTTTTCTCTTTCACAAATAGTTAATTAAGATTTTGGGGGGTGAGGTAAGGCCTATGAGGATACAAACATTTATGGAATATTCTTGTTTGTATTGTTTTAGAAATTACTTAATATATGTTAATATTATATAGTCCATTAAATACTTACATTGCATATGTGAAACCATTGGACACATTTCAAAAGAGGTATCTTTTAAAAAAAAATACCTTACTGCTTTGGTAATCATTTTGAACACCACTTCATAAAAATACCCTTTATTTACCAGTAGGTGGCACTCTTGGTCATGATTGTTACAAAACAAGATTTTAGAATTTGAAAGAGAACAGCTTTAAAAAATTAACCTTTCTTTGTTTTCCAGTTCATATAAGCAGTAGATCATTCAGACGGCATAATCGCTGAAAGGAGTGTCTTATGTGAGGACTATTTTAGTAATAATTGTCTAAATCATTGGGCAGAACAGTGTTTTCTTTTTTTTTTTTTTAATTTTATTTTAATCATTGTTCAAGTACAGTTTTCTCCCACTTACTCCCATTCCAGCCCACCCACCCAACCTTCTCCTCTTCCCCTGCATTCCCCTCACCCCTAGTTTTTGTCCATGTGTCCTCCAAATTTGTTCCTATAGAACAGTGTTTTCATATTAAACCATATATTAGTTGAATATTATTAGGGAACTTCACCTTAAATGACACTAACTGAATCCTTCCAGTCATTGGTCTGGTCTTTCATAGGGTGGAACCAGAAAAATGGGGGGGGGGAAATCCAGAAAAAAGAAAAATAGAAAGATGAGAGGAAGAATTGGTGAAAAGGGGGGAAATTGAGAGTAGTTTTGCTGTGAGGTGATGCCTGCTGATTATAGCCAGCCTTTTCTTTTGCAGCTAGGAGATAGTAGTGTTTTTTAACAGTTTTCCAAAGCATTGTTCTTACATGTTGTCTCTGCCGTTGCAGGAACCTTGTGAGAACTTCAGTACATGGAAACACTGTCCGGGTTCCCACCGGTGTGTATCTGAAGGTCTCAGTATAATACCAGGACCAAAGTATTGTGTATCAGCCAGCCAGCCCGCCATACACTTAATTACTCCTAAAATCTCATGGACTTCTAAAGTAAGTTTCTTTCTTTCAGTGATTAATGCGCCATTTTTGGTTTAGCATATTTAAATGAGAAACTACATTTAGTAGTCTTGTATGAGGTAAAGAGGCACTATCCTTTTTTCATTTATTCAAGAGAAAAATAGCAAGGAGCATTATTTATTTACATTGATGCTGCATCATGCTATGGCAAGAAATAGATGTTTTACTTCATCTAAAGATTAGTTATGACGCAGTGGCTTTTTGATATGAATTGATTGTAACTGAATACATTACATATGGCTTATATCACCATCTGACTTATTTACTTCATTTTCTGTCTCTACCTTCTAAAATATAAGCTTCCCAAGAAAGTCTGTTTTGTTAATGTCCGTACTCCCAGTGCCTGCCACATAACGGACTCTTAATAAATATTTGTCAGATGAAGGGCTGAATTAATGAATGTGGAGTTGGAACATAAGCACATCTCGCTTGAATATTTTCCTAACACTAAATTTATTACAATTAATTTATATAGTGCCTTCCAAAGAGCTTAGGAAAAAAGAGTATTCTCATACATCTTCATTTATTCTCCAGCTGACCGAGAGGAAAGGACAGGTCTGCAATATAACATGTGAATGTGGCCAAGAAATAGGTGAAGAAATATTAAAAAGTGGGCCGAGGAAAACAGAATGGTAGGAACCAAAACAAAAAAAAACAAAACACATTATCTGACTCGTACTCAGCGGTTTCCCTGATAGACCAGTAGTCTTTAGACTTTGAAATGGAACCTTTCTGGGTTTTTGTTTTTTAAACTTTTTACGCAAG